GAACACATGAGGCTCCTGATGAACACATGAGGCTCCTGATGAACACATGAAGCTCCTGATGAACACATGAGGCTCCTGATGAACACATGAGGCTCTTGATGAACACATGAGGCTGCTGATGAACACATGGACCTCATGAACTGCTCCTCGCTGCAAAACAAACTAAGTTCTGAAGTGAAGCAGGAACCGTTCCTCCAGAGGAACATCTGCTCTGGAGCTGCTGAGGAGAGTTTTTAGTCTTTAGCACCAAGAGCCCCAGACGGGAGGAAGGACCTCATCAGCTGCACCAGTTATTAGTGTGTTCAGCTGGAGCACAAGAGACGGAGATGAACATCAGAACCAGGGAACAGAGGAACCAGCTGATGGTGGAACATCTGATGAGCAGACAGGAACGGTCTGGAGACGTGGAGATAGTTCAACATCTGCAGGAGACGACAGCAGCTCCAGGGTTGAACATGTGACGACACGTGATGGTTCCTGGTTTGATGTTTAGTTAATAAGTGAAGACGTGTTTCTCTCCTTCTCGCTCACAGATTTCTGACGTTCTGCTGCCGTTTGTTTCCTCGTCACACGTTTCACTGGGATGAGATTTTACACGTGACTAAATGTGGGAACAGTTTCTGGTCTGATCGTCACTCTGACGGGTTTTAATCCGTTTGTTTGTTGTTGTTTGTTTGTTGTTGTTTGTTTGTTGTTGTTTGTGTGGATGGTTGACGTTTGTGTTCAGGACATGGATCAGCAGCTGCAGACGGTGTTTGACCCTCCGTGGACCCTGTGCTGTCATTGTGTTCTGCTGAGTGGTTTCATGTTCTCACGTTGATCCTGGAGCTCCAGCGGGACGTCATCAGACTGGTCTGCAGTGCAGAAGCCTCCTGGGTCGGTTCTGACTGACTGCTGAGGAGCTTCAGGAAGCTGGACCTCAAACACATCATTTTCTGGCTCATTTCTTTTTTCTGAGGTGGTTGTGAATTTATTTGCTGAAGCGGTTTTTGTTGTTCCGAGTTGCTGAAGTAGCGTCTGAGAGAGCAGCTCCTGGAAACAAAAGGCTGCTTCAGCGGAGCAGCGATAACAGAACTTCATTATTCAGATAACTCATCTCTGTCCTCCGTCTGCCTCCACTCCAGCTCCGTCCATCTCTTTTTAATTTCAGCTTCACCTCGCTCCTCGTCCTCCGCTCGTTGGTTTCCGTCCTCTCTCTGCCTCTCGCTTGTTTCCTTTCAGGCCTCAGACGTGTTCGACATGCCAACGGACCCGGTGGCAGCGTCACCGGACTACGACGGAGAGTCGGTGTAAACGACATTAAAGCAAATGTACGTCTGCGTGGTTCTGACAGAGATCTGAGCGTAAAACACATCAGGTTCTGACATGAAGGCTGAGACTGAGTCCTGAAGTTACAAACGGTGGAGAAGCTACCTGGAGAGACAGAAGACCTGTTTCATCACATTGAGACTCTACCATGTTGGTTATCAGCCAGACGTCCCAGCAGTCCAGACTGAAGCTGGGTGAGGAAGGACTCTGGTGACGTGACGGCTGTGAGGCGTTCAGGGAACATCTGCAGATCATAAATCTGTTAGAAGGCGTGATGCTTTGGCGTCTTGGTGAGCAGGTTTAGTGTTTTGGTGTGTTCAGGTCATAAATGCAGCTCAACCAGGAAACGTGAACGTGGTTTTTCCGTCCTCGCATGTGGACAGAACCTCCTCCATCTCACCTCCTGGTTTTGACCACGTTGGTGCTTTAACGTCTTGGTGTTTGACTCTTTGTCAGACTTCTGATGATCTCACTCTGCTGAGATCACCAGAACCTGCTGCTGACTCAGTTCATGAATGTTGCATCTTCCTGTCAGCAGCTCCTCCAACGTCATCAGGAAACGTTTCCGGACTCGTCTCCGCCTGCAAACACGCGCTCTGTCTTTGTTCTTCATGTCGTCAACACTTGAGCGTTTGGAGAATCAGAACCTCGACAGCTTGTTGGAACATACATCTTCTTTCTTTCATCTCATGTCGTGTCAGTCGATGTCTTCGGGTTTCAGGCCTTCTGTCCTGATGGCGGTGCTGGTCGGCGTTTCTGTCGGAGGTCAGACGTTCCTCCGTTCGTTCTCGTTCTCCTGTTTGTTCTGCACTGAAGCAGCAGTGACTGTGAGCGGTTGTGTGGATGGACAGATGGAGGCTGCTGGAGGTGTACAGATGGAGATGAGCAGCACTGAACAGCTGAGCGGAGGTGTGAACGAGCCGGTGGGCGGAGTCCCAGTGAACATGGAGGCTGGATGGATGAGATGCAGAGAACACAGAGTGTAAATGACGAAGCTTCTGTCTTCATGTTCTGTTCATGTTCCAGGGCCTCTTAAAGGGAAACAGCAGGAGGAACCACAGGAGCTCTGGTTCTGAACCCATCACTGGAGCCCAGCGGGTCAGTGCGTGTTGGTGCTGGTCTGGTGGACCACAGTCTGGTTCCTGCTCAGGGTTGGTCCTGAATTAGCAGGAACGTTGCTCAGCTGCTGGTCAAGAACTTTGTCCTGTTCTGCAGCATCCTGCTACGTTTTCATCGATGTTCTCTGACGGTGATGATGTTCAGCCTGAAGTCAGACTAAAGTTTAACGTAATCACTCCAGAGAAGGTCTCCCAGTAGAACCATGAGCCCAGTGGCTCTGCAGCGACAGCAGGAGGCTGAAGAACATTCTGATAACGTTCTGGACGTTCGTGGTGAAAGTGTGGCTGAAGATTCAGTGTCCCAGACGTTCCTCGTCCTCTCTCTGGAGACCTGATCTGTACCAACAGCCTGAAGAAGAACCGTGTTCATGAACATCCAGGGGTTGGATCCTTGGTGCCTTCATCTTCAGGTTCTTTGTGTTTGGGTGCCCTGATGTCCAGGTTCTGACATGTTTGTGCTCTACTGGGAGACATTCTGACGTTCTGGTGCATAAACGTGGAGGTTTGGACATTTACTGCAGATGGACGTCTGGTCGGGTCGGTAAAAGGAACCGAGCTGTGCTGGCCTGTGAGTCTCCAGGCCGGTTCTGAGAACATGGAACGTGGAGGGAACCGGAGCTGGTGTGGTACCATCTGGACACGGGGCTCATCTTCACACAGCGTTCTGTGTGCTGGCGGTGGGTTTAAGGGTCGGTGACGGTGTGTGCTGAGGTCCGCTCTTCAGAATCAGTGGTTCAGAAACATGTGGTCAAAGTTGAGGAAGTCTCCTTTAAAACAAGAAGTGAGCTGCAGCCGTCCATCCGCCCCGACCTCCACCTCAAACTCACTTCCTGTCACTTCAGGTCCTTTCAGGATGACAGAAATAAAAAGCTTCTCCCATCCCTGATGGTTCTGAGGACCAGCCCCTGAAGGGAGCGTCTGCTGTCGGGCTTCTTCTGAACCTCGCTGCAGCAGTTTTAAGTGCTGACAGAAACTCTGAAGCGTCTCTGGAGACGTTGGCGATGCGAGACCTCAGCGCAGGAGAAGCTTCTCCATCCAGCTCATCAATAAGGCAGCGTGAAGCCACGACAGGCGTCGCTGCTGCAGATGAATCATTCAGTCGTGGACGCTGCTGAGGCTGGTTAAAGCAACACATTAAGCTTCTACCGCCGCAGCGACGGCATGTTCTAGTCGACGATGTGTCCTTCAGCATCACCATGTTTGGTCTTTTCATATTCAGGTTTTTGACTCGTGTTCGTTTCCATCCTGTCGACTCCTTCGTGTCCTGATATTCCGGTTGGTGACGCTGATGCCTTCATGTTCAGGCCGTGAGCTCGTCTCTCAGCAGCATCACGGGTTTCTGATTCGGATCAGATTAGACTAGATTGAACTTTATTGATCCCTACGGTCGGGTCCCGCAGGGAAATTGTTGAATCAGGCAGCTGGTTTTGTTTCCGTCTTCTTCTACTCTGCTTATTGCAGCTAATGTGGCCGAGAGCGCCCCCCTCTGGCAGCAGTACGCAGCCGAGTTCATCCACTAAACCTGGAGACTAATTAGCATTTTCTCTGTTCAAGTGTTTGGCTTGAATCTACTCATCAGTCGTGGAACTGAGTCTGAACGCAGCTTCAGCGGTTTATCAGTGTTTCATTAGCTGAGAACAGAAGAAGTTTTCTCCTCCTTCTCCCGTATCGACAGTTTAACAAACCCAGACGGTAAATTAGTGTCGCTGTGAGAGTAATTAGCTGATCTGAGACTAGTTTGGTCTGACGGAGGAGGAGGAGGAGGCAGAGCGACGCAGAGAGAGAGAGAGAGAGCGACTGGATGTGGACGGAGGCTGAGCAGCAGCAGCTGCTTTTACAGCAGAGCGTGCCGTCGTCGAGGGCAGCGAGCTGTTGCCACGGGGATTACTGACACGTCTGCCGCCACGGCAACGGCCAACAGGACCCGATCTGGGAGGAGGACGAGGAGGTTGTCGGGTTCGGCGCCTTCGAGCAAGGCAGCCATGAAGACGAGGTGACCGGAGGGAGGAAGGACAAAGAGAAAATGCAGAGGAAAAGAAAAAGAGGCGGCGAGAGGTTTGAGAGTAAAACGTCATCAGAGAGGAAGCGAAAGACTCGAGAGGAACAGAAACAGAGAAGTGATGCCGTCGGCTCGGCGTGTTCTGCTCAGTTCCAGGATTTCTGTCGTCTTTCCTGAGTTTGGTTTGATTTCTTCATGTTCAGCTCCGTCACAGTAAGTCTGCTGCATCCAGGCTGTTCAATATAAAAATAAAAACTAACTTACTGTCCTGCTGCTAACAAACCTGCTTTATCCTGCCTGACTGTCCGATGAGACTGAGCAGCACATTAACGTCCTGCTTCTGCCTCTTTGGTGTCTTAATATCCGTCTTATTGACATCTGGGTGTATTAATATCCAGGTTTTGTGTGCGTCGATATCAGGTCTGTGAGGTTCTGCTGCATTAATATTGAGGTTTTGGACGTTTTGCTGTGTTCACGTCCAAGTTTTTCACATTTTTGTTTGTTCACCTTCAGATTTCTGACACTGTGGGGTTTGAATATTTGGCATTTTTAAAGTTTTGGTGAGTTAATCTCCATGTTTTTGACGTTTTGGTGCATCACTGTCCTGTTTGTGGAGGGTTTTAGGGTTCGGGTTACACACTAAATGTCTCAGCTTAGAACTCATTTTAAGTTTTATTTGAGGCCCGTTTGGGTTCATTCATTGACTAAAAGAAATGATTCAGCAGCAGGAACTATTGTTCTTGTTCTGCACCAGTCCATCTCTGAATCCTTTGTCTTCTCCACCGTGTCACGACTCTCCGATCGCCTCAGTCAGGAAGACGTACGCTTTCAAAGGTTTGCTTTAATCTAGTTTCCGTTTTATTCTTTGGTGTCTGAACAGCAAACAAAGCAACACGTTTAGTTTACGGTCAGATTACACACCAAGAGGAAGAACATACTTCAGAGATCAGATGAGAATCTGATCAGATGAGCTCGAATCCATCAGTTTACCTACAAACAGAATAAAACACCGACGGTGGTGCTAGAGGGACGGTTGGTGGTTCGTCCTCTGGGCAGCAGGAACAGGAGGAGAACACTTCATGTCTCTGAACATCTGATCTGCTCTCAGGTGACAGATCGAAGTTCCTGTAATGTTTGAGACGTGGGTTTGAAAGTTCGGGTCGGTTCCGGGATCCAGGTCCAGAGCTGCTCACTGACTTCACGTTGAAACCGTCATCCTCAGCTTCACTCATGTTTATCTGCAGACAATATTCTCCTGCTGTGTTTTTAACAAATTGTCAGTGAGGCGAAATTCTCGGACGAGGTGTAGAGTTGCGTGTCGTCTGCATATAAGCGATATTTTTATTTTTAACGCAGTTGCTCAGTAGGACAAGGCAGAGATTTAAACATGTGGGACTCCAGAGAGGATTCATCAGTACGAAGCTGCTGTGTTTGTGGTCGGTGACGTCCAAGTTCAGCTGGAACCGGATTCCTCCAGAAACCAACCACAGTAGGTTTGAGCTGTCAGAGATTCTGTCTTGTGATATTCTACATTTCATTTTTCCAAAGTGATTCATTTGATCTTGGGAGTGTCAGAACCTGGTCCGATGCCCAACAGAGGAGGAGAGACCAGACAAGAGCTTGTTTTAACTTGTCAGCTAAAACCTAACAGAACAGAACCAGACCAGCTGAGTTGGATCACTGCATGTTTTTGCATTATCTGGGTTTTGAGGCTTTGGTGCATTAAAGTCCAGCTGCTGACTCGTTGTTGTCTCTGTTTCCAGGTTATTTCATTGAGCTGATATCCTGTTTTATAAAGTTTTGTTGAAATAATATCCAGAGTTTTGAGATTTTGGTTTCATAACATCTTGACTTTTGACACTTTAGCATCTAAATATTTTTATTTCTGGCTTTTGGTGTTTTTGTGTGTTCATATGCAGGTTTTTAAGGTTTTGGTGCATCAGTAGGTTGATGTCCAGCCTTCTGGCGCTCTGTTGTCTTTAAGTCCAGGTTGTTTGGCATTTTAGTTCAATAATATCACTTATTGTGGCATTTTATTAGGTTTCTATCCTAGTTTTTGAGGTTTTTTTTGCACTAATATCGATTTCCTTCACTCTTTGGTTTCTGAACATCTTGGGTTTTGACCTTTTGGTGCCTAAATATCCACGTTTTTCATGTTTTTGTGTGTTATTATCGAGGTTTTTGATATTTTAGTGCATCGGTTCAGGTTTTTGAGGCTTTTGTGAGCTGGTTATTTTTATCTGGTTAACTTAATCCTGGACGACGCCCCGGTTGTCAAAACCTGGTTTATTGCTGGATGAAGGAGGTTTGTCCAAAGTACTGTTGTAAACGCTCAAAATATTGACTGAAGCACTGAGTCCAGATTGTTCTGCTGCAGAACACGGTTCCCGACATGCTGGGTTTGAACAGCCGTGTTCAGGAGGAGCCTCAGAAGTGTTTAAACAGGATTTGTTGGCAGCAGAAGAAGCTCCTTTAAAGCTGCACAGTTCTGTTTGTGGTGTTTGTCCTGAATCCGATTCTGGCTTCGTGCTGCTCGGACAGAACAAACAGAAGACAGTTTCCTATTTCTGCTTCCCCAAAGCAGCCGGTAACGTGATCTCGCTGCGAAAACTTCATGTGCAAAACACACTGAAGTCACTTCTGGGAGAATCTGGCTGACGGACGTCAGCAGCAGACGAGAAGGAGGAAGATGAAGCTGTTTCCTGTCGGCGGATGGTCAGACGTCGACGCCGGGCCTCGTGTTGCCCTACAGCTGGTAGTTAGTTGTTTGTTCAGAGGTGTGAACACATAACAGCTGATAGATGAAGCATAGATGATCCGGTGAGTGATTCACTGGCTGAACAACATCCTGGTTTCTCAGGTTTTGGTGTGATATCATCCAGGTTTTTAAAATGTTTTTGTGAGTTAAAACAAAGGTTTTTGATGCACTAAAGTCCAGCGTTTTGACTCTTTGTTGTCTTTATTTAAAGGGTTTTGGCAGGCTGGGAGATGTTGTCCTGGTTTTTGACACTTCAGTGCGTATCCAGGTTGTGGAGGTTTTACTGCATTAACATGCACATCCTCAGTGTTAACGTCGTGCTTTTTGACTTCTTATTGTCTTTATGTCCAGTTTTTGGTGTTTTGGTGCAGTAGTATCGAGGTTTTTTATAAAAGTTTGGTCCAGGTGACTTGCTTTACACGACTACGCAGTGATCAGCAGCTTCAGCGTCACCTCCTGTGATGAGAGTCTGGCTGATGTATGAAGACACTGATTTCTACGTTTCTGCTCTTTGTTAATGAGCTACAACCCGTCAGGCCTGTTTCCTGGTCACGGAGGAGCTGGACATAAACGCTACGCTCTAAATACCAGCTGACATGTTTATTGATAAAAGTCAGGAAATATCAGCTGACGTATTGATCAGAGCCAAATGAAAAAATTGGTATTGATCCTTGTGTCTGATATTCATCACGTAGCGTAGCGCGGCCGCTCGGTAATGAACGCTGGGAGGCTAATCTGTCATTCCGTCGAGCTTCGGCTCAGTCGGGAGCGACGAGTCGACCTCTGACCTTTAGCCGAGCGCCGCGACCTTTCGCCTCGACGCCGCCGAGCCTCCCGCTGCTGCTCTGCATGTGAAGCACTGATGAATATGAATGAACAGTTGGAGCTGTTAGCGCCGAGGCTCTTTATTGACACTCGCAGCGAGTCGGTTGGCAGCAGCTGGAGTCCCGCCCACAGCTCATGAATATTAATGAGGCGTGATGGAGGAGAGGCCACACGAGGCTGACAGACGACAGGATTTATGATCCTCGAGGTGTTCGCGGCGTTTGTTCGCAGCTCAGGAGAGCGTGACGGCACGAGCATTAAACAGCTCGATAATGTAGTTTCATAGCAGAAGTGTGGCGACGCCTCGACGCTGCAGCCGGACGGAGTCAGATGGAGTCAGATGGAGTCTGATGGAGTCAGATGGAGTCAGATGGAGTCAGATGGAGTCCTTCACTAACCGGCCAGGCTTCGGAGAACCCTCTAAACTAGTCTTCTGTGGGACTGCAGCCGGTGTTACATCCTGATGTGAAGCTGATTTGACCTGAAGTCTGAGACAACATGTGAAAGTGTTCAGAACTGACGCCCGCTAGCGTCCAGCAAGCAGCTGGTGGTGCTAGTCCTCCAGTCCGAGCTGTGAACCGTCATCAGCAGCTGCACACACAAACCTGGAAACACCACAAAGAACAGGCTGCATCTCCACATGGGCTGTTTAGTGTCTGACGGTCTGGTGTCTTCATGTCATCATCGTCCTGGTCGTTCACATTTTGGTGTCATGTTGTCTGTGTTTTGTGTTTTAATATCCAGGAGTCTGATACTTTCATGTCCTTTTATCTAGTTTTTGATGTGTTGGTGCATCATTATGCAGGTTTTAACCCGAAGACATGTGGTGTCCACATACTTTTGGTCATGTAACAGTTGTTAAACACAATCCTCACGATGTTTCTCGTCTGCTTTGGATTCGTTGAGTTCCTCCCTGTGATGTATTAACGAGGGATCTGCCTGACTTCTGCTCTATCAGGAAGCTGAAGGAGTTTTAACACGTGAACGTCTGAGTCGACTCGTTAACATCCGTCAACACCTGAAGGACCCATTAAGGTCTGTTTTATCCTCCGAGGACAAACTGTGGTTCATTAGATGCTCGTTCCTCCTCAGTCTGCAGGTTTGACAGTCATTCAGCTGGCTGTGTTTGCGTCTGTATGTTTCCTCGCCGAGGTGAGGATCTAACGTTTCACCGCTCTCCGAGGAAAGCTCTGAATATCAAATCAAACCAACTATCCAAGAGCAGTGGCTTTATTTTCAGGCTCGACTCCATGAATATCAAATGAAAGAAAGTATCGGGATTCAAAACAGCTGCGTTATTTAAATCTGCCGACCGGTGAACCGAAACCTCTTAAATGTAATCCTGCCGCTCCAGCCGGCGGACCGGGCAGATGTAGCCCCGTTACTGGCATCAGAAAGGAGCTTCAGCACTAAATTACAGCGCTGCCTTTATTTACAGAGACAAGTCATGCTAATGTGTTCCATTAATCAAAGTTATTGGGCATTTAGCTTGTTCCTCTGACAGCAGCGACGAGCCAATTAGGATCTAATTGTCTGCTCTGAAGGGAGAAACAACCAGCTGTAACCAGAAAATTAAATATTCAACATCAAATTACCTCATATATTTCTCCAAACACAGATAATATTGGTCCTTGGTGGACCGCCAGCTGCTCTTATTAATGGATTTTTCTTGTCTCTGTGTTCCAGGTAGATAATTTCGGAGGGAACAGTGGAGATGATTAATGAGCAGAAGGTCGAAGCTGAAGGAGACGTGGAATTAATTAGAGAGGAGCTTGTTTTTATCTGCAGTCACAAGTTTGGAGACGACTTCTTGTTCAAGGTTTGACTGTTTTCCAACGAGTCGAGAAAAACTGGAGGCGTTTGAGCCGAGACGCTCAGCCAGGCTTCACGGCTCACTTTGTGTCTTTATGTATAGAGGTTCTGGTTCTGGTTCTGGTTCTGGTCGTTCTGCAGCTTGTTCTGCCCATTTCACTTCTTTTTCAGTCACTTTGTGTCTTTATGTATAGAGGTTCTGGTTCTAGTTCTGGGCGGCTGTGGTCAGGTGGTAGAGCGGCTCGTCCTCTGAGCACAAGGTTGGCGGTTCGACTCCCTTTAGTTTTCTGAGTTTAGTCTCGTCCTCTCCTCACCGAAAGTAATGCATTCATCCTGGAGGACTGTTGATGGACCAGAGAATGATGAGAGCAGAACCACCAGTGGACTGGAACTCGACGGACCTCGTAGGAAGAACCTTTTTCTTGTGATTTTTGAGTCAGTCTGACGATGAGTGCTCGGCTGAATGGACGCATGTCGACCGACCAGTCGACACCTGGACACTAGAGATCCAGTCACTGGTACCGCTGCTGGGATTTCTGAGTTGGTAACATCAGCACCAATTAGACAGATTTTTAAAGTTCTAACGTAAGATCCATTTTGATTGTCCTCAGAGAACCTCAGGGGGGTCAAAGCTAAAGTAGAACTGGGTGTCATCGGCATAGAAACGGATGCGGTGTTCTTTAAGAAGATGTAAGTGAGGTCGAGATGAAGTGGAACTCCTGACCTCCTCCTGCAAAAAATGATAAATATATGCTGAAAGATTGTGGTTTAGAACTTTCCTTCTGATGAAAGGAAACAGGAGAACGTCTGATGAAGGAGAACTTACAGATTAAACATCTGTGTTCCCTCTGATGGAAACAGTTCAGTCGTGTATGTAAATGTTTACTGTGGTTGTTTCCTCCTGGTGGCGATAAGTTCCTAAATCACACAAAGAAGCTCCTTCTGTGAGCTCTTACTGATCCATGAGTCTCCTTGTTCTGCAGAGAACCTGAATGTTCTGCTCCACTGTGACCCAGACTGAGGATAATCCTGCGGGTTGAGCCTCGGGTCGGTTTGTAGGTCAGTTTCATAATGAAGCTGAATGACATAACACAGATTACCGACTGGACCGGGCAGCAGCTGGATCTGCTCGGTCCAGATGTTGGTTCTTCATGTTCTGATCCATAAACTGTGCTGACATGCAGGACTGTATCTGGTCTCAAGTCAACATGACGGACTAATCTCATTTGTTGGGACTGTGAATGAGCAGAGAGCAGCTCGGCGTCACATGTCTCCGGGTCGGACCATGTGACTGCAGTTTACCAGAAAACTGAAAACATTTCACTGAAAACAGATTAAAATTCCAGATTTAGCTCCAAACACTGAGCTGCAGCACAAATCTGCTCCACTTTGTTTTCCACTTATCAGCTTCTGGACTCATAAATGCTCCGTTAAACGTCCTGCAGTTAAAGTCCAGCACAAGCACTAAGTCCTCAGTTTAATCCACTGGTGTCCAGCCTCTGGTTCGGAGCCCCCAGCGGGTCACCAGATCAATGTGAGGGGTCACCAGATGATTGGTTGGAGGGTTTTCCTCTTGTCTTTGGTTCATGGTGTTGAATAATGTGAAGAATCAAACCACTGCAGTGGGAATCTGCCTCACAGACTAGAAGGACCAGGAACAGAGACGTTCACTTCAAACCTGAACCAAGTTCCTGATGCTCAGACGCTTCTGACCAGAAGGAGACACTGTACCCTGAAAAGAACCCTGAAGGTTCTACAGCAAGGGTGTCCAGTCCTGGTCCTGGAGGGCCACAGTCCTGCATGTTCTAGATGTTTCCTTCTTCCAACACACCTGATCCAGATGATCAGGATCGTTATCAGGCTTCTGCAGAGCTGGATGATGAGCTCATCATCTGGATCAGAGGGAAACATCTAGAACATGCAGGACTGTGGCCCTCCAGGACCAGGACTGGACCCTCCTGTTCTACAGGGACGGTTCTCATCGTAGGAACATGTGGCAACAAACCCTAAACAAATGTTTCGGGTTTATGGAAACAAACATTCAACTGATTGTGATAAACAGTTTGCATTGGTCCGAATGTTCTGGTTCTGAATCTTTGACATCTTCATGTTCAGGTGCCTCATTCTCCAGCTCGTAGACATTTAAAGCCCTGGACAGACCAACCACAGCTGGCTGCTCAGCGGTTCTGGTGGTGGAGCAAAGGGTCCATCCTGAAACCACCCACAGGTTCCTGCAGAGGAACACTGGTTCTACTGGAATGTTTAGCAGCTGAAGAACCAGATACCAACGGAGGGAACTTTGATAACTCTGCTTGTTTCTGCTGAGGACTTCCTGTTAGAACGGGGGAGACGGTGCAGGTTCTGGCTGCAGGAGGTTCTGATCCTGAAGGTGATGATGGTCAGAAGGTTCTGGTTCTGTTGTCTGCTGTTGGTTTTTATTCACTTTCTGGTTCAGTTTAGTTAAAAGCAGCAGGCCCAACATATTTGGTTCTGGTTAAAATCAGCCATCCTCTGGGTTACCATGGTGACGAGTGCTGACCGGTCGGGTTGAAGCAGGAAAACAAACGACGAGATGTTCCATCAGAAACGTAAGAAGCAACACAGACTCAGCTGAGAGGCACTTTAGTTGTAGAGGAACATAATTATTGGACTCTGCAGAACCTGTGAGTCAACACAGAACCAGAACCATGGCGGTTCTGTAGGTCCACCTGTTAGCTGATACACAGCTCCTGGACGTGGAGCTGCAGGTTGTGGGTCGGAGTGTGTCTCCGTCCACTTCATGAGCATCATGTGTGGCCCGCTGAGTGTGAGTCAGTGTGACTGATGGACTGTGTGTTTAACATCAGGCAGACAAAAGGCTGCTGCTGTGAGCGCTACGCACACATTAGCCTCCCGTCACGCCGCCTCTCATCAGCACATATCAGCTCCGTCTGGACTCAGCGCTCTGCTCCAACTCACAACGTCGTGTTCCAAGACAGCGGTTCTGGAGACGTCGGTTCTGCTGCTGCTCACGGTTCTGAGCTTGCAGATGTCGGATCAGAGCTGCCGATCTCCATGACCCGCTGTCAGGTCACATCCACGTACAGAACATCTTCATTCCTGTTTCATCTGTTTCAGCATCTTCAGCGTTTTCTGGTTCTGTTCAGTGAAACGAGTCCAGTTTTTGTTCTGTCCAACTGAACTACATTTGAACTTGATGTTGGTGCAGAACGATCCAGGTTCTTAAAGTGTCCACGTGTTCAAACGTTGGTGTTCTACGTTCCGCTATGTCATGTTGTCTGGTGTTCTGGCGCTTCTAGTCGGTTTCTGTAGGTCCATATCAGGTGACTGACCTGCTGGTGGCATCAGCAGTTCTGGTCTGACCAGCGACTGAACGGTCGGAGTCGAACCGTAGATGTTTGTGAATGACGACCATCTTTGGTCGCAGGTCCGATCCTGGCAGTGAACCCGTCTGTCGTTGTGTCTTCCAGAGGCTGAGGTCCGTCCAGTCGAAGCAGCTGATTGGTTGACCCCTCGGGGGGGTCGAGGGTCGGAGGCCATGGCGGGCCGACTCCTCCTCTTCCTGTGTGTCTCTGTGACGCTCGGACACGCCCACTTCCCGTCCGGACAGCGCCTGAAGCCCCGCCTCCAGAGAGACAGACGCAACATCCGGCCGAACATCATCCTGATCCTGACGGACGACCAGGACCTGGAGCTCGGTGACTGAACACAAACACACAGTTCTGACCCGGTTCAGTTAATATTTAATCAGTCTGACAGCGTTTTAATGATAAGTTCTTGAAATCAGTCCGGTGAGTCTGGAGGAGGCGTCACTCAGACTACATCTTATTTGTATGCTGACAAGCAGAGAGCATTGTGGGAGTTTAGCCGTCAGCGGGCACCACGACAGAGACTGAACTCATTACAACACTGTTCCAGCTACTTGGTGTCGTCAGTGTTGGTCCATCAGGGGCGTCTCTCTAAAAGTTCTAGTGTTAGCAGAAAGGCTAACTATGCTACATGAGTTTAAAGAGTGAAAATGTTGGCTGGAGTCTGACAGAAACTGAAAACACACCATGTCTAAGGCTAACTGACTGCTACAGGACTTCCTGGTCTGTTAGCCTGCTAGCATGTATAGATTAGTAGATTAGATTAGTCTGAAATCAAAAACCTTCCATTAGAACTATTTTTACTCCCTCTTCATAACGAGCTAACGCCGTCTGTGTCTGTGCAGGTTCGATGCAGGCGATGAACAAAACCCGCCGCATCATGGAGGAAGGCGGGACTTCTTTCTCCAACGCCTTCGTGACCACGCCCATGTGCTGTCCATCACGCTCGAGCATGCTCACTGGCAAGTAAGTCTCCACCTGGTCAATTCAAAGGTGTTTCCAGTTTTCCACGTTGTTCTGTCCCGTTTGAGCTTCATAGAAGCAACGTTTAGTCGACAGAGAGTCGATGTCGGTTAAACGTTATCAGGAATGAAACCAGAAGAACAGCGTGTGTTGAGTTTAATCGTTAAAATCCAGCATTTGGTGTTTTCGTGCTTTAAAATTCAGGGTTTTGATGTTTTGGTGTTGATATCTACGTTTACGTCTGCGCTGTATATTAGTGCATTCACGTCCAGATGTGAGCTGCAGCTGTCTCTGTGGTTAGCACCGTTAGCACCGTTAGCACCGTTAGCAGGTTAGCAGCTAGAA